TAATCGCTAACCCCAGTATTAACAACTTTTTAAGAGTTTTATTATCGCAGAATTTTCGGGGTGTTGTTGGGGTAGTTATTCGCTAAAATTTGTGCCTGGCACGCTATCCCGGTCATGCCATGGGTTTGGATTATATGTTATGCAAAGATCATTTTAAAAACTAGTATCGATAACATTCAAAATTTCACAAAGAATAAAACCCAGAAGCCAGAAGTAAATTTTAAAAATATACAGTGCGCAATTTTTCTAAAAGCTCGCACAAGTAGATTGAATAAAGCTCAAATAATTTATTAAAAACTTGCAGATGAATTGTTTGTGGTTTTAAATCACTTACAAAATAACTAATACAAAACTTTTTTTAAGATTTTTTTTAACAAAATATTTCTTGATTCTTTCAAAGTTAACTATTTCTGTAAAGTTTAGTAACAATAATGCCTTTATCAATTTTAACAATAATAACAATACACATTCATATTCTATTATAAATGATATACCAGGTATATTTTGGATATGCAATGGTGGTCTGCTAGTCGCTCTAGTCGGGATTTTTTTGTCGAGTTTATGACTTGTCGGGATTTTGACCCGCTCTCCATTGTGGCACATTTGAATATGCTTTTTTGGCTTTACTATTAGGGTTCGCTTTGAAAGATTACTAACGAAAATTATGTTCTCGACATTTTTGATTAGTGTATAAAGGCCGATGTAAACACCAATTTTTGATTATTTTCGCTTTTTCCCTTTTTGCTTCTTCTTGCACACGTGTTTTGTTGATGTCGGAAACAATATGTCGGAACTACCCCCGCGTCACTATCAGAGATGATATTGGACATTTTCCAAATAATTTAATTATGCATAATAAAATTTTTATTGGACATTACAGCTGTTTTCATAAATTCTGGGACACCTGATAAACATTTGCCGAATGATTTTTCGGCCGATTCATTAAGCTATTGATCTCGGCAATGATAGGTGTATGTATTTATGTTGTGTTATTTTGCAATTCCTGTTAGTTTCAAAATAACAGATGTTAATTTACAATTGCAATTTAACGTATTTCAAATAATAATCGGTATCCCTTAATCCGTATGTAAATTCGGGGCAAATTTGCCCCGAATTTTATAAGATCATTTTTACATCATTTAATTA